CAAGCCAGCCTTTAATTGAGCCAAAAAGAAAAAAAAAGTAGTGATTCAACCAAATTAGTGTTTTAAAGTTTGGATTTCCACATAGCTGAGGTATTGAAACTGGGAACTGAAGGCTGCAGGACCCAACTGCGTGCCGCCACCGTGAAGCCTGCTGAAGCATTTCAAGCAACACAGGCTGTAGCTCCTGTTCACTGCTGCAACAGGACCCAGCTGCACAGGCCACAAACAGGAGTTCTCCAGACTCACAGGAAAAAAAAAAAAAAGACTAGTGTTTTGCAAGACAGCCTCAGGGAGCACTAATTCTTTTTTAATTCATGACATCTGGATAGCTCCTTTCCATCTCAAACCCCCTTTCTTTCTCCTGTTTTGGTTTGCAAGCAGATAGGGGAGGGCAACAGCTCTCTGCCCCTGCCAGAGCCAAACATGCAGTACTGGTATCAGCTACTGACACTGGTGGCTATTTACCTAATTTAATGCTTTTAAGAGAAAAAAGAAAGTGAAAGTATCAAATAAGACTTTTCTGGCACTAAGCATAGCATTTCAGCCATCAGGATGCTCAGGACAGCCAGCAGCAACAGCCGCTGTGGTGCTGCTGAGCAGGACACAGCGCTGAGCCCTTGCCAATGGCTTTGTTTGACTCCCCCAGTTCTGCATCCAGACTTGCCCTCAAGGACTAAGGTGACAGCCAGGCACTCAGCACAAGTCCCACCGACACTGCAGGATTATCTTTTTGGCCAGCATTTCCCTGCCTCCAAAGCAAGCAAGGATGGTGTTTGTTTTCACTAACTCATTTCCAAACAATCCAACAGGCTTGGAAGCCAGCATGGGGCAGGCAGAGGACCCATGCTGCAGCATGCATGCTGTGCAGGGCATCAGGCAGCTTGTGCTGATCACAATGTGCAGCAGCTTTGGCACCATGACCTGCTCCCAACATATCACTGAACAGCACCAGCCACACAGGGCTGTGCTGGGGACAGTCCCATGGCAGGAGAGACTCTTCCACAAGCTGGTCCATCTCCCACCCCATCTTTCTCCTCTTCCCAAGCCACAGCTTGCTACTGAGACCCACACCCTACCTAGCAGGGGGAGTCCCAACTCTTGGGAAACAGGCAGTGTTAGCACAAACAGACGACAACCCTACTGTTTAAGAGCCTCAACTTACTTTAAGCACTTATGGATGAGATTTTAACTCAAAAAAAAAAAAAGCAGGAACAGTGAGGAAAGGGGGATAGAGCGGGGAGCACAAGCAACTTCTCAACTCAGCAGTTATTCTAGCCGGACAGCATGTCCCCCCATGCACCTTCCAACGGTTGTTCTTTGCACTCAAAACCACTGGAGCCTGAGTATCAGCAGGACCAAAGGGACAGTGTCAAGGCACAGCCCATTACCTCCAGGAATGTGGCTCGAAGCCCATGCATGTCCTTCTGCAGCGTAAACAAGGCACACCTCTTCCCGACTGCAGCTGGCTCACCGACATCTGGAAAAGAACAGGACACTGGAGTTGGAAAGGCTTTATCCTTAAAGATTATCCAAGACTACAGTACTGATAGCTGAAGAAACCATCTGAAGGACAAAACACACTATGTCTTGTGAAGCCTCAAACCTCCCAAACACCATCTGACCACTGTCCATGCAGACCTGCTACAACTCTAGTTTGGGATGAAGGTTTTCACCCCAAAGTGAAGGATGATGGCATGTCTGGAACAGCATGGGGGGATGGCACGTCAAACAGTGACTATGAGCACACACTGGGCAGCCACCTTTCCCTTATGTGCAGAGGCCTCAGGTCTCTTTAAAAGGTTATTTTGGTTCAGCTTATATTGCTTATATATGTCTGTGCAAGTCAAATTTCATGCAGTAGACATTGAGGTGCACGGCCGTGGATTGATGCTAAACCTGCTTTACTTCAGCTTGGACCTCCTCGGCCTTTCTACAGGGGATCAAGTGTATTTTGGGAACATGGCATGTTTCCATGCTTCTGGTGCTGGATTTTATGGGTGGTTTCCACGGTGAACAGGAAATACAGCAGGGTAAGGCTCCAGGGAGGAAAGGGCTGTGGTTATGCTGTGCTTTCTGCTGCTCACTGAAAACAGAAGCAAGTCACTTGTATACATGGGTCCTCACGGCTGCAGACAGTCCTGTTTAGGGGAATATGCTCAGCTCCTTCACTCTACGGTGCTGTGGGTGGTTAAAAAAAAAAAAAAAAACTCTCCTTTGAGGGGGCTCTGCAGGGACCCTGCATGGGTGACTGGGCGCTGCATGCAGCGGCTTAGCTGGAGACCAGCCCTAAGCTCTGCAGGGATTCAAAGCCAGTGATGTTGGGAGCATCCTTCCTCCCACTCCCTCCCAGATCCACTCATCCTGCTTCCAGCAACCGCTCCCAGGCTCCTGAAAACCTCCTACAGAGTCCTGGGGCACCTTGAGGTCTCCTCCAACATTAACACATTCCACAACTTTCAACAGAAAAATGTTATTTGATGGCACTCAGTTAGGAAGGACATTTAATTTACTTTGAAAACCTAGTGCTGCTAATAAGGACAAAGATTTTATGAACAGATGGTTCTAGGAATAGGAGGGCACTGGTTTGCCAATTTTAAGGTAGACAAGCCTTTACATGCCTTTTTTGTGCAGAACTATTAAGTGCCCATACAAGGCTGCTCATCCCTGAGAAACACAGCCAAAGGCTACAAAATGGCCAAGTTCAGCTCACTTTGCCCAAGGCACTGCTATTTCATTTCTTCCTCAGCTTTCACCTGTAGTTTTCACCTCATTTTTCACCTGCAGTCTTTTCAGATATTTTGAAGGCAGTGAAAAGACCTCTCACCCTGGGAATACATGAAAACACATCTTATAAGTGGTCTTAACACATACACGCTCTCCCCTCCCTTCCCCCCAACCTCCAATATGTAGAAAATAGGACATTTGACTGTTCAGTTCTGAGCCAACTCTCTAGAACAGAGAGACATTTAAGTCTCTCTGGTTGATGAAAAACTGAACATGAGCCGGCAGTGTGTGCTGGCAGCCCGGAGGGCCAACCGTATCCTGGGCTGTATCCGGAGAGGTGTGGCCAGCAGGTCGAGGGAGGTGATACTGCCCCTCTACTCTGCTCTGGTGAGACCCCACCTGGAGTGCTGCGTCCAGCTGTGGAGCCCTCAATATCAGAAGGATATTGACCACTTGGAGCGAGTCCAGAGGAGGTCACGAAGATGATCAGAGGGCTGGAGCGCCTCTCCTATGACGAAAGGCTGCGAGAACTGAGCTTGTTCAGCCTGGAGAAGAGGAGGCTCTGAGAAGACCTCCTTGCAGCTTTCCAGTATCTGAAGGGGCTACAAGGGTGCTGCGAGAGGACTTTTTACAAGAGCCTGTAGTGATAGGACAAGGGGTAATGGGTATAAATTGAAATCAAGGAGGTTTAGATTAGATGTCAGGAAGAAATTCTTCACAGAGAGGGTGGTGAGGCACTGGAACAGGTTGCCCAGAGATGTTGTGGATGCCCCATCCTTGGATGTCTTCAAGGCCAGGCTGGATGTGGCTTTGAGCAACCTGGTCTAGTGCAAGGTGTCCCTGCCCATGGCAGGGGGGTTGGAACTAGATGATCTTTAAGGTCCCTTCCAACCTTAACCATTCTGTGATTCTATGATTCTCCAGCACAGGCCACTTACAATCTTGACAGTTCTAGAACCACGTGCTAGATACCTACTAACTTATGGGGTTTTTTTAACTGATTCTGATCTTGAGTCAGACAGAAGCTGGGTATAGGCAAGGGACAACAAATGGTTGTTTATATTCAATCCAGATGTTTTTATTTTAAAAACTCATTTGGAAAAGTTTCATTACATACAAGGAAGAAGGCAAAGGGAAAAGTCCTGTCAGTAGGAAGAACCAGTACATGAATTCCAAGACAACCAACCTGATGCTCTGGAGTCCAAATGTCAGTCCAGGTTCTCACAGCCATTTGGGGGTACCCACCAGCCTGTGACCTCCACACTGATATATAAACCTGCTGTTTCACTTTATTACTTCAATATTAGCAGGACCTTTTCTTGGTCATTTATTCAACCTGGTAATTTGTTATACTTGTCCAAATATGACATGTCCCAGATCCAAATTTAATTGATGTTAACTGCTCTTTACTCAATCTGGACCCTATGGAAGTATGTACCGAATCAGTACTCGCCAGAACACCCTTATACCCGCTCTCCAGAGCGGGCTGGTACTACCCATCACCCCAGTTAACTGGAGGTTCTCGGTGGCCAGGCTGCTGGATTTGCTGTAGATACCCACCCAACTCCAACTGCTGTCACACAATGGCTTGGGCATGACTGTCCATTGCCAAGGGTAGGGCAAGCATCCTGAAGCCTACCAGCCGGCAGAGCTGGAATCAGATAGGTGGTACCCCACACCACCATGGATGAACAGCCACAAACAGAGGGATGGACAAGCCCCACAAGTGCTTCTGACCCAAGGGGACTTGGTGGCATGGGCCGTCTCTGTAAGGCATACTGGACCAGCCAAAGTGAGGCAGGCTGCACCTTTTCACCTGCTGGGATGGCAGCTCATCCCCATCACTGCCTGTGAGACAGCTCAGGTGACCCTGTGAAGTCCTGGGGACATCTGTGGCACAGGCAGACTCTGGACAAACACACCTGAGCCTCTTCCCCATGGGGATGCAGCACTTACCCACTGACTGCTGCACCTGCCCCTGCAAGCAGCATCTCCTTGTGACAACTCAAAGCACAGCCATGTCTCTTCAGAGCACAGTGTTATTCCTCAGTCCCTTCGAAGTGGAGGGAGGTTTGAGCCACTCATTTCCATCTCTGTGCAGAGGCCAAGCATAACAGGCGCCGCTGCCTGTTTTTTGGGCTGCCTGGTCAGCAGGACTTCCTGCCCAGATATGGAGCTTCTCCTCACAGCTCCGCTCCAGCTCCTCAAATATGCTTAAAAGGAGATTTCTTTTAAAAAAAAAAAAGAGACATTGCAATAAACCCAAGCCCTGTAAGATAATGTAAAACAAATGCTCACTGACTCCACCTATGCCCAAGACCATTTGGGAACATTAGTGTTAAATGAGGAGATACTGAAGTTTAAGATAAAGAGTTTAAAGATATTTGTAATGCCTTTTTATAAAGGCCTGCGTCAAACTACTTGGAAGAAAAGCAAATTCTGCTCACCATGACTAGATATACAATGCATTAAGATTTCTGGTTTGGCTTTTTTGTCTTATAGCCTTCTTGCTATTAAAAGAGAAAGCAAGTTAGTACAGAGGAAATTCTTAGGTAGTGAAATGATAGGAAGTTGAGGCCATTCTACCCACAAAAACATCTCTGAACAATCTCAGGAATACGTCAGTAATACCATGGTTCACTATTACACTGGCCAAAGGCAGGGCCATCCTAGACACTGGTAAGTTTGCTCAATGGCTGGAAAATGGAAAGCCTATAATGACAAGTGGCAAGGAAAAACCCAAACATAGCTCAGTCTCGATTTAGTTTGACAACTCCTTTGGAAAAGACCTCAACAAGCACTCCAGCTATCATATGCACAGAAGTGTCTCCTCCCTTCTAGAGTTGCAGCTACACAAGTACTTTGCTCTTAGGTATAACTATATACATGGACACAGGGTCCCATTAGCTGTCATGGCCTTGTAGTTCCCAAACATCCAGCCTAAAGCTGTAGCAATAAACAGCTTTCTGCCAGAAGGGTCATTAGCAGGATGGCTGCAGAGATGAGCAGGCTGATGCACTGTACAGTAAGGAACAGTTTCAGGGGATGCATTTCACAGCTTTGCTTTGTACAGCCACAGAAGTACAGGGTGGTCCCAGCACCCTACTCCTGGGACACTCATTGCATGAGAGATCCAATTTTTTATAGTGTAGCAAGTAGAGATAATTTAATTGTTAATATAAATTTTAAAGCTTACAATGCAGCCAGTTAGGGAAAGGTAGCATCCTTACATCTTCTGCTAATATCTGCTTGTGCAGAGAGGTTGGTTTATCTCAGGTCATTGTAGAATCAGTATATCCCACCAAACATCTAAAACAGATTAACCCACCAATTGCCACAAGAGCCCAGAGCAATATTCTGCTTTCCTTTAAGGACCTTAGTGAGTTTGATACATGAGGTGAATCAAGCACAGCAGCAAAGCATTATCTAATGCAGCTCAGCATGTGCCTGAGGGGCTATTTCACTGCCAGCAGCCTGGTCCCACCACAGCCAGAGGCACCCACTTTTGCTGAAGAATCTGCAGATACCATACAAGGGAAACGCAGTTACGCCTCTGGCACTTGCTTTTTTGGTGATGCTTAATTTTCTTCTGCTATTAGACTGCTCCCTCCACCATCTCTTCAGCTATATACAAGGTACAGGGTCAAGACAGCCTTGATAAATTAGCTCTGACCTCCTGCAGAGGCATGCTACATGTCATGAGACCACAGCAGGCTGGGGACTAGGTTAAGTGACAAACAAGGTGGGAACAGGAAAGTGGAGCCAGCTCCAGCTGCTCAATCAGTCACTGTAAGAAAAGGATGACAGCTGAAGCAGGGAAATCCTTATCTGATCAGGGATGCTTAGACTACACTCCCTTGGAAGACCTTTAGCTCTTTTCTCCTGCATACCTACAGGGACCTTGGTCTAATCGCAAAATGTTTAATGGCCCTGCAGATGGGAAACAAACACCCTGAAAGGCCAAGGTAGCCCCTAGCAGGATGGTTTCACCATTAGCAGCACATACTGTATGCACCACACAAATGCAGGGCAGCTGCAGACAGAAGACGACATCCCTTTGGTCAGCAGCAGCCCTGGCCACCACACCACCCCTGTAGGGTCAGCGAGCTCAGCTGGCAGATTAACCTGGAGATCTATCCTCAGAAGAACTCGGGCCTGAAATGAGGGTCAGAGTTTTGGCAAGTTTGGCTAATACAGCAACTAATCAAAGACTGCTGAAGATCAGTAAAGCTTCCAAGAATATACACCCTCCTGCAAAAGCTAGTTTCATACAGAGTGATGGGACATGAGGCAGAGATTAAGCTTGCTCCAACTCGTGCTCTGTGCCAGAGAGCACAAGTACCATCAGAGCAGGTTCACGAGGGGTAACCCCATGAGCATGATTCCTCCCCAGCACTGCTGCATGAGTCACCTGCTGCTCTCCAGACTCTGAAAGGGCTTTGGGGACCAGCTGCCACAGCTCCAGAAGGGTCTGGTGAAGCAGGGCCCTCCTGCTTCTGCAGAGATTTCTGGATCCTGAAAGCCCATATTGCACAACACCTTATTTGGAGACTAAAAAGGGCGATGGAGACACGTAACTACCTCAAGTATGTTTTCTCCTCCTTTTTAGGAAGGGAAGAGGAAAAGCTGGTTTCCAAAAAGTTACTACAAGTTCACAACAGCACTGCAGAGCCAAGGTCCTCATTTCACCTCTCTTCACCACAGGCAGACCGCTCCCCCAGCACCCCAGCAAGTTCAGCATAGCCCCTTCTGCACAGCCCCTGGAGGACTCTCACGCAGTATCAGCATTTGATACCCTACCCCAATAAATCACAGCCAGGCAGAAGAGCACTTCAGTGAAGCTAAGGGACCACGTGAACACTTTGGGTGGGGCTCCTCCAGCTGCAACAAATTTTGGAGATTAAACAACTCCGACTGAGAAATTCCCTTGAACAAAGAAAAAGGGAAAAGTCATACGATATTCACATGGGTGGGACCAGTTTGCTCAGTACAATTGTTGAGGAGTTTAGGGATATGGATGGATAACAGTTAATTTGCTGTCATTATCTGACTATAATAGAGCTAAGCTTGCATATTAACAGGGAGCTAACTCAAACTTCCTTCAGGATTTCCAAAAACTGGAGGGTGTAGTGTTTTCCTGTCAGAGGTATCTGTATCATAGCAAGGGGAAGGCTCTGGAAAGGTACACCAAAGTTAAAGCTAAAAAGTATTTACATGGGCTGCAGGAGGAAAAATCAGCCAAGCCCAACACCAAGAGATTAACACCTCCAAGGGGCTGTGTTTTAGTTAAAACAAGGAATAAAGCCAGATGCCGTTCATGCAAAAGCCTCTGGTTGCACTTTCCTTCCTATCATGGATCCAGACGGGCACATTTCCTATAACTGTCTTATACACAACCATGTGTTGCACCCAACTGCCCCATCTCAGCATACCTGCCTTGGCCTTAAGCACCTTAATTCATGGTTTGGAGGGGAAACCTGTCTCAGCATTTTCCTAGATACCTTTCCCATCCTGGAAATCCTCTTACATTCCTTGAGGAAAGGGATCACCTGCTTCTCATTAAACCTGCCTCAAACTTTATGGGAAAAGTTATCCCCAAAAGGCATCACTGGAGAGCTGAAAGATTCCAAAAAGCTCTTTGGAGTTGTTTCTCAGGATCCAGTGCACAGCATGGCCTGGGGCAAGTGTTGCTCCAGCATAAGAGGAGCAGCCGCTCATCTGACACTGAGCCCTGGCAGAGATTAAAGGAGTGGGGGACTCAAATGCTGCTATCTGCAAGTCCCAGTGTTGGAACCAATGCTGCCCCACACTTGGGAGAGCACAAAGCCAGTGATGCCATCCCACTTAACTCCTCTTAAGTGCATATTAAGACAACAACCGAGATACTGAACCCAACAGACAGCCCTGGATGATATGAAATACCCATGTCCCAGCTGGAGGATATGGAGTTCAGCCTGAGTCACTTCAGGTTTGTTTTGGCTCATCTTCTTCTGGAACAGATATTCCAGAAGTATCACATGCAAGAGCCTTCTCTGGTTCATTAGGGAAGACGTTTGCTGCTTCTGCTTATCAAGTAGAGCCAAGGTATGACAACAGCCTGACACATGCCAGCTCTGCTCTCAGCCCACGGAAGTGTCATTCACCCTGGACACATGCAACCTGCAAGTTTGCATGCAACGAGGCAGGAGAAATCAAAGCTAGAGCATTTGGACCAACTAAAGCACAAAGAATACTGCTCTAGAGGTGGTTCTGGGGATGTATGTATTTCTTTTCAGTTTGACAGTGTGAGCACTAAGGATGCTGCTACACAAGAGCAGAGGAGCCACAGCAGCAGAACTGCCACTCCTGAAGAACACTGACCTTGTCCCAACAGTTTTACATATTGGGTATTACACTAACCTTTTCTCTCCTACAAATGACCAAACATACTCCTTGACTATAACTGATGTGTCCAGTGAGGTCAACTGTTCAGGTCAACTTTCTGCTCAGTCAGATTCCAGTACCAGCACACAAGACTGTGCAAAACAGCTTGGACCAGTTGAAGGCCAGGCAAGGGGGCTTACCTCCAGAGCAGGAAATTCAGGGCTGTGCTGGACAAACTTTTCTGGATTTTAGAAGAGGCTCCTTAACAGTACCTGCAAGTGGAATGAATTTCTGGAAGGGCAAACAACTACTTTTAGATATTCATTAATCAATATGCACACTTCCTAGTATAATTTTGACTAAGAACAGTAAAGGTTTGTTTTGATTTGTTTTCCTTATTTTCATAGACAGAAAGCATCTATTGTAATCATGACCTGAAAGCAATTTATTTCCCCTGCCAGACTGTGAGCAAGCAGAGTTATCCAAATTATCACACTGACAGGAAAAAAAACCTTTACAAAACTGTC